GGGCGAAAAAAAAAATGGTACGAGGTCGTTAAGAAAAACAAAATTGAAGGTGATATTAAATTGTTAATATGGCCATCTCAAATGCCCAGTTTTGGCCCAAGTGGGTCAGATGATTTATGATTTACATTTAACAGGTAGATGGAGAGGGGAATTACGGCAATATGTACACTCACTGAAGGGAAAATATTTAAATCATTTTAAAAAGTTAAAGAAGAATTAAATCTTGAAAACAGAGACCTATATCGCTACCTACAATTGCGTCACTTTTACGAAAAAAAGGTGAACAGGGACCTATTAGAAGGAATTAGTGAGGTGATTATACTCTTGACACGTGCATATGGTGGAACTCCCTCAAAAATTGTATCAAAGTTGTACAATAGTCTCCAAAAATGCGATGGCAGAAATTCATTCTATGTTAAAAAAAAGTGGGAACGAGAATTCAACATTACATTAACTGGGAGTGACTGGTCCTCCATGTGCAAAACACAACAATCTTCAACCAGCTCAAGAAGATGGCGAGAATTTGGATGGAAAAATCTAATTCGTTTTTTTATCACCCCATATATAAAATCAAAACAACTTAGTCAACAACAGAAATGCTGGAGAGGGTGTGGACATGTAGATCCCAATCACTCCCATATCTTTTGGTCATGCATTAAACTGCAGTTATTCTGGAACAGTGTCATTCAGACAGTAGAGGAAATGTTATGCTTATCTATACCCCAAGATCCGAGCTTTGTATACCTAGGACTTATGGCATATGAAGTCATTGGAAAAAAAGACATTTACCTCTGCAAAATATTACTGATTGCTGCCAAAAAGGCATTGACAAGGAATTGGTTGAAAAGTGACCCACCTGGGCATGGACAATGGCTGAATATTGTAGACGAACTATAAGCCATGGAAAATTTGACTTTTCGTCTAAGCCTTAAAGAAGGAGACTTTGAGAAAAAATGGCAGAAGTTGTCTATGTTCAAGGTCAAAACCCAACCATAAGAGGAAAAAAAAAAAACTTTGGAAAATATGGTAATGTATGCTCCCCCCAGCTTGTTTTTTGTTTTTTCTTCTTGTTTTTTCTTTTGTTTTTGTATTATAAAAAAGACTAAATAAAGAGTTGAAAAAAAAAAAAAAGAATGAACATGACTCAAAGTTGTTTTTTTATTCTCGGAAATGATAGGTCTTTTTTGAACAGCAGTAATTAAGACATTCTTGAGAAGAAGCGGGTTTTATTGTATTATATTTGTTCTACATCATGTCAACCAAAAGTGCTGAAAATGTTAGACCTCTAGCTATAACACTTCCAGAACTGATGGGATTGGAACTTTTGGTGTCAGCTTGGAGCTGCGCACAATGGCTCCACCTGCTGGTAAAAATTTTACCTGTGGAATTTTATGCAAAACCCACCGGGTCGACCATCCTTTTTCAGCCTTTATCATCCAGCTGACGATGAACCTCCACCCTACCTCAAATACTTTTATCCACCTTTTACTGGTTTTCTTCAGAGATTTCCCTATTTAGCTGTATCCATCTCTGAGTAGCTTCCCTTTCATTAGTAAATGCCCCGTCATGCACATTATGACACTGCCATGGTAAACATAATATATTCATGGTGATATGCGGCGACAGCTTTCCAACACAACATATTTTTATGAATGCAAAAGAGTTCCAGAGCACCTTGTTCAACATGTTTGTTGTATTTGCTACATGTCAAGTAGAAAACTAAATGGAGCTTTATGTCTTTATTTCAGTAAAGGCCTTCTCACTATTTATCAGAGCTCTCTCAAAGCACACATTAATCTGAGCACTGAATCTCTGCAGCTCCTATGGATAATGCTTCTTGGCTTCTTTGCTAGCAAATGCTCAAGTTTCATATATTGCTGAATGTCTTTTATTATTATTTAAGTGGTAGCACAGCTAAGAGCTTAATACAAATGCTCACACATCTCACACACTTTCATTGGTAGCATTTTTAGAACCCTATGCGTCTTTTTATGTTCATCTCAGATTTTTAAATAAGTTTTTTTTTTTTATTGGTCTGTCAAATCATTGCTAAAAGGGAGAAACACACAAAGACTTTTTCCAGAAGTAGCCTGAGCAGGGTTTTAACACCAAATTGTGGGCCCTGTACACAGTCAGTGCCAATTGGCCTCCATTTGTGCCAGTGCCTGAAGCATAGGGTTTTAATATATTGTAGAATGTTTCTTTTATTCACCAGCTGAATGCATCTGACATTTTTGTGCTTATACCCATCCCTAGATACATCCTAGTTAACATTAGCGCAGGCTGATGCTCTTTTAGGGCAGACTGCTAGTAGATGTCCACGCAATTGCTGCAAGTACCTTCATGTTGCCTCAATGACCTCACCTTGTTTCACATCCTCGGGCTCACACCCGCCCTTGACTTCAGCATCTGGTGCAGAACTATAATTAATAACTGGTGCAGAACTAATTTTCCAGCAAGAAAAAAGAATTGGTATTAGATTCTTAACATACAAATAACCCTGCTTTTTAGAGCAAGCTCACTTTGTATTTCTAGAGGCATGTCAGTACAAGAGCAACTGCTAAATTTAATAAAACATATGGTCTAAAATGTATTCATAATGTTGATTGTTTATGTTTAAAATTCGGTAAATTTTTGTTTTGGTAGGGGCAGAAATTTAAGGGTGTCAACCATGCAGTCATATCATTAAGCATCCACAAGAGGACACTTGCTCTTCCTTGAATACCTAAACATTGATCTTGCCTTGTCTTTGCTGAAGAGCCTCCAGGACTGGCCACCACTGCTCCAGCTGCTACATCTGATCTAGCACCAGTATTAGTTTCTGAACCTGGTTAATGTTAACAACAAAGGTTAGCTGGCCCATAATTGTCTGCATAGTTACAGCAGCAAGTAGCCTGGTTGGCAACAAGCTAAGCTAAATAGCTAATTGAGGTGAGAATATGACAGCAGCAGCTCTCTGGAGTGAATTTTAATTTGACTTTGCATAACAGGCAAACTGGGTTCGCCTTTGGAAAAGAAAGCAGTCATTAGCTGCCTCCCCTCTTTCTGTTTCTGTATTTTTCTTTCTTGTTCTTTTGATGCCTTGATTTATTCCTTTGGGCAACATGGATGTCTAGCCTCCAGGTCATTCAGTCTTGTCTCACTGACATTATTCTTTTCACCATTGTTTGACTGAACGGTTTAAACCATTTTGCACTTTCAAGTTGGGCTTTCAGAACGGGTTTGGTGGACTGTGACATTAAGTGTGTTCTCTCAGTTGGTGTAATCTATATATACATTTTAAATACATTTTGACACCAGTTAATTCTAGGGCCAGATTTATTCAAAATAAAAACTAAAAAAAAAATGTTTTTCATTAGCCTCCTTTCCTAGGTGGGCCCTGGGTATTCAGGACCACTTTTCCCCCTCACTTCCATGGCCATAAACTGTACGAGTTTTGTTTTCTTGCCCTGTTCGGTGTGATTTTCCAGTCGTGCAAGAATTTTCTGTTGGGGTTGACTTTCAGCCTGATCGTGCGTTGTGTAGTGTGCAGGGGGTAATGAGGAGCGATCAGCCTCCCACGGCCACCTCCCCATCAGGAATCGTGAGGTCTGCTTGTCTGTCTGTCTGTCTGTCTGTCTGTCTGTCTGTCTGTCTGTCTGTCTGTCTGTCTGTCTATCTATGTATGTATTGCTTAAAAAAGAAGCATCACAAATTTGAAAAATATGAACTTTGTGTTTTCCATGTTTTCATTATCTTCTTTTTTCAGATGTTATAGTGAAATGTTAGCAATGACTAAATATGGTTCTACTAAGAATTATTTGGGGTGCAATCTCAAAGGGGAAACTAAATCATTAGATTTTATGATATTACGCCAGACGTAAGGAAGGAGGCCGAGGACTAATGTGCGTAAGAGCCACTATACACGATGAAACATCCAAGATCCATAAGTACATAAAGGACAAGGCTCCAACAGACGGCATCCTCTGTCAATGTCTCAGACAATGGGAAACAGAAGATGAGGTGCCAGAGACTCCATCATGGGAGGATAAGCCCCTAAATGTGATGTGCAACCAAAACATATTCGAAGTGGCAGATATCAGGAAATCCTACCAATGGCTAGACAGAGTTGTACTGAAGGACAGCACAGAGGCAATCATCATTTTAGAAAGACTTGAATATTTTGTTAGAAATTAACTAAATTTGTAATTAGTTAATTGAAACTTTTATGACAGAATGACATGAATGAAAAAAACATTTCACAAAAAAACATTTCACAGCTGAAACTGTTTTTTTTGTTGTTGTTGTTTTCCATTCTATCTTTTCTGCCTATTCCGTTGGGGGCAGTGCCTATCTCTGGCACTCTATGGGCGAGAACGGTACACTGTTCACAGGTTGCCAGCCGGTCACAGGGCAACATAGAGACACTCAAAGACATACAACCTTGCACACACACACACACACACACACACACACACACACACACACACACACACACACACACACACACACACACACACACACACAGCTAAGAACAATTTAGAGATGCCAATTAACCTAACAGTCAAGTTTTTGGATTATGTGAAGAAGCTAGAGTACAAAGAGTAAACCCACACATGCACAGGGGAACATGCAAACTCCATGGAGAAAAACCCCAGGTGCCACCACGCAGGCCCCAGCTTGGCATGTGGTGTATCACTGTGGTCAATATGGCACGTTTTTTGATGAAGACAAAATGCTTGATCCAGCTGTCCATTTAAGTCCATTTTATTTTTAAGTGATCAGGAATTTTTCTTAAAATAATGCCAACATGTAAAACATCTTTAAACAGAAGACTTTATTATTTAATTAAATTTAAGGCTTGTTTTTAATTGGATGTAATTTACAATCTTAGTTGTTTTCAGTGTGTGCACATACATTACCAAAAGGATCAGAAATATTATTACGATAATGCAGTTTTATTTGCAGGTAGATTAATTAATAAAAACAAACACAAACAAAAAGAAACTCATGTATACATTTCACAGTGGATGCAGAAGAACCCCACTGAATGTAGTGATGTGGCTGTTCCCAAAGTAATGAGTGGTAGCAAGCAGCCGCATATAAACATGGTCTCCTTGCTGCAGTTGCAGAAATGCTGCATTTCCACCATTATCAGACCCATCGTAAGATGACTTAAGATCATAGGCAGTCACAATAAGTTCGTTGTTCTTCATGAGGGCTAGACTTACAGGTTGGTTTCCTCCAGCATGATAAAAGAAGGTAAAGTAATATATGCCTGCAACAGGTGCAACAAAAATACCTGGAAGAAACCACATATAAGTTTAATAGATATTGTTGACATTTTAAATGCCAGTTTGAAAAACTGTTACATTGTTCTTACTATGAATATGTGACGTGGAAAACAACATGGACAGAATGTTGTTTTCAATTAGAATTGAAATACTATATTTGGATAGCTTGTGTTAAAAATATAATCATCATCACCACCTATATTTGATACTGTAGCAATGGAGTTTTATCTATAAACTTAACTAATCTCTTAGGCACTTCAGCATTCTCCAGGTAAGACTCTCTCTCAACTGGGCTGTTGTTTTACAAATAGAGACCATGATATTTACAAAACAGACAATGAATTACATTGAATATTTTTGCAAACCAATGCAAATCTTTTTTTTTTGGGGGGGGGGGGGGGGGGGGGGGGGGGGGGGGGGGTAGCCTAGTGGGTTAGAGCAGAGCTTGTGCTCTGAAAAGGTTGCAAGAACCCAGTTCAAATCCCACTGCCTACACTCTGGTTTCCTGAGCAAGACCTTTAACCACCAATTGCTCCATTCACAATGGCAGCCCACTGCTCCCCAAGGGGATGTGTTAAATGCAGAGGTATATTTCTCCAATGTGAGATCAATAAAATAAAATTATTATTATTAGTTTGCAGTGATTAACCAGTTTATGACTTTGGTACATTTGATAGCATGTTTAATATCAGTAGTATTAGAGTATTGTTTCAGTGTTTGGAATGTTAGTTAAAAAGGTAATTAGTTATCGTTTCAGTAACTACCTCTTCAAGAAAGTAACTGAGTTAGTAGCACAGTTACTGCGCAAAGTAACTACTTACTACTCAAAGTTACAAAGTTTTTACATTTTAAAATGTCAAAGAATTTGAAAACCTGACTGTTGTCATGATTTCAATTATAACTGGAAGTTCAATTATGAAATCAATTAGTCTTATATTAATAAAGGAATTAAATAATTTATTAAAAAGATTATATAGCTGAAAACATTGGACCTACATTTAGATCTAGATGAGGCCCTTGCTAATAAAACCTACGAACATATTAATAGATGTAAAACTCCTAATTGACTGCAGAGACAAACTCTACCCCATTAAACATTAATTCATAAAAGAGCAAGAATTCTGTATTAGTCCTCTTTGATTGTAGTACATTGTTTTGAATAATTAATTGCTGCATTTGTTAGTAGTTTATATGTCAAATACTAACTTTAAAAAATGTAAATGTAAGACATTCTACATGATGGTGTCACGAATGCCATCAAAAAACTGCTTGCATGGTGTAGAGGTGGTGAAGTACATTTCTAAGAAGAACAAATAAACTGGTCCTTTAAACCAATCAGTGTCACATATGTGTATTTCAGCAACCTGCTGGTGGTTCTGCAGTAAAAATCTCTTCCTGCTGCAGAGAGAGGGCAGCTTTGATTAAATGCATATAAGTAAAGTGCTGCTTTAGTTTGCAAGTAGCTTAAAGGCATTACCAATATATGAACACCAATAGCAGCTCGGCTACTAATGCCATTAAATATGTGCTGCAATTCCTCCCAACACAGATTGTTTAAATAAAAACTCTAAAAATGGTTTTATTCTCAATATTGTTTACCTGGTTAAATAAATTGTGCTAAAAAAAAACAACAAAAAAAAGGAATAAATTTATTGACAATAATGACATACTATACGCTAGGTACCTGAAATGACGTGCAAGTTTTTTTTTTTTCACAATTTATTTCTAGCGATATATTTCTAGTTATTTTGTCACTTACTAAAGTTGGACAGCTCTATACCAAAAACTCGAGTGATATTTTTTAAGCAGCACTAATAGGTTTATTGACCAAAGGAAATAAATAAAACTTATCCATAGGTATTCGGATCAAGAAAAATCTATAGGCCTACATGTATTTCTAGTACTTTTATTTAGAAATGTAGGTAGAATGTGTTAAGACTTAATTTGCCTTTGTTTCATCTCAAACCATTCTTCATAATTAGACCCCTTTTATGTCATTATGCCAAAATCCTTAGAAGGCTACGCAATTGGACTGAAACTTCCCTCCTGTCAATCAAAGCCATAAAGGGTTGATACTCTGGCACAAAAATCAGGATTCCAAAACTAGGGCAGGCCGATGGGGACTTCTTATTATCCCTACTAACTCCTCCACTAAAGTGGTGATTCTATGAAAAAGAATTAAAAGTAGAAATATAATCTAAAAAAATACATCCTTACAAATATAAATTGACTCACCTGTGTTCTGATTATAGGCATTGCCCACATTTGTTATCACTTTTCTGTAGATTATGGTTGTATGTGTGGTGAAAGGCCCACATGCTCCATTTCCACCTGTTGCAGCGCTGAATGCGACCTTTTGTGCTTCTTCAATAGAAATGAAAAAACTGCAAAACTGCATCTATTCAAAAATACATTGTTGATAAATTCAGAAAGAACTTTACCTTTCTTCTTCAGCTCCAGAACCAGACTTTCATTCTCATTCAGCCTTGTTTCGAGAGCTTCTTGCTTCTCATTCATATTTGTTTCCATAGCTTTTAGTTTCTCTTTCATGGCCTTAAATTCTTTAAGGAGCTTGCACATGTTAGGAAAGCAGGACTTTATATCAGTGGTTACTTGTGATTCACCTAACTCATCCTCAGCCAAAGTTAAACCACAAAACCACACTAACAACCACACTCTGAAATTCATCCTGGTTCTCTTACAGTGCCTCCAGAACTCTAATTGACCTGATGTGTTGTTTCCTGTTTTATATAGTTTTACAATGTCTGGTTAATGTTTAACTTGAGAGAAAAGTATCAAAAGTATACAAACAAAAAACACGAAAATTATCAAGGCAGGAGCAAAAAGATAGAAGAAATGGCCCCATATTTAACCTAATCTTTGCCCTAACTAGAAATGGTTTACTCTCAAAACCAGCATCTATTAACCATAATTATTATAGAGAAGCTGTACAGACTTTGTGGCTGTTTTGTTTTGATAAGAGCTAATGTTTCTATTCATTAAATAGACAGCAAAGACAGCATAGACAGTTTTTTCTTTTCTGCAATTTTACTATGAAATGTTTAGGTGTGAAAGATTCTGTTTAGGTAACTGAAGTTTTCTAGAAGAAGTTTTGCCTCTCATCCAAGAAGCTTCTTCAGTTCTAGTGGTAGGGTGCACTGACGTTAATATACTGTAGGTGTAACAATTAATAAAAACAATTTTGTAACAATTTTTTTTTTCTCTCGATTGACTATGTATATATGTGGTTATGCCAATGAAGATTCTCAGTCATTCAGGTCCTAGTCATTCCAAAAAAATGTATTGAAAAAAACAATCCACTGGACTTTGTTACCAAGTTTGACAAAATGTTCGCTTCCCATCTAGGAAGCTTTTTCGATTCAAAACTCAGAATTAGTGTTAAGTTCGAGGCTTTACAGACTGGACCAAAACAAAGCCTTGTTATGGCCTAGAAAACATACAAATTGAACCGGACAAGCGGGTTGAAGAGCATCAAAGATGCTCTCCAAACCTGTAGATACCTAAACTGGGTGTTTGTCAAATCAACAAGGAAATACAAAGAACATGCAGCTGAACATAATGTTGAGAAAAGACAGCAAGATAGGGTGGACACAAAAACATGTTCCCTGAAAAAGGATTTTCTCCAAGCACAAAATCCTGGTACATTTCAAACCAAAAAAGACCTTTAAACAGAGACTAGTGGATCCTTAAGACAAAATGCCTAGACCAAATGAGCAAAGTGGTGTATGAAGTTTAATGCATTGAGGAATGGTCTGATCTTTATATCGAAGAAACCAAACAGACTCTCCACAGATGCATGGCCCAACACAAAAGAGATACGACCTTCTCCCCCTATTTACGTCTTATGGACAAAGGACATGCTTTTGAGGAACAGAATGTTCACATTTTGGACAAAAAAAACAGGTGGTTTGAGAGGGGTGTGAAGGAAGCCATTTATGTTAAGAAAGAAAAACCAACCTTAAATAGAGTGGGGTGGACTCAGGTGTCCGCTTTCAAAAACCTACAATGCAGCAATAGAGTTCATTCCTCAGTTCATCAGATATTACAGGCTAACGCACTGCATGAAAAGTGAGATTTTCATCCCCGTAAACCCCCGTAAACTCCCGCAGATCTGCCTGATTTTCG